ATAGAAAAAATAAATTTTTATTAGCAATTGGTTATTACTTTAAAAGATCAATGATATAAATTGTTGAACGATTAATTGTTTAACTTAAAATATTGAAAATTACAAAATCATATTATTAGTGTTTTATTAGAAAAATTAAATTTAATTGTGACTTGCGAATTCAAATTTACTTGCGCGAAAATTCATGTAATTTATTGCACATAATAGATGGAATGCAATTTCGTTATACGTGATTGGGTGAACGTAAATTTTGTAATAATATGTTCAGATACAAAATAAACTCAGTAAGTTTTATTGTTATTATAGATAATCGTTCGATGACCATAACATATTATGACAAACTAAATCTATTATTTGTTCTTACCGAAATCTATCGGGAATCGCTTATATACCAGATAATTTCTTTTCTCTTCCATATTTTTCATATTTAATTTTTATTGTAGATTATATTTTCATAGTCAATTATTACGAATTATTTTTATTTTTTACATGTTTTACCCAAATTATTTATATGTGGTGAATCTAATCATTTTAAGGATTCCCATATGTTATTTAAGAAAATCAAACAAAGTAGAGGAATAACAATAATGATGTATATACATATTTTATATTTGTACAATGTAAACTAAATTAAATGCTATACAATGAAAGTTAAGCACACGGAAATTTTATATCAAAGCTCATTAGGTTTGTCGCAAGAATTGAGATTCCATTAGTATATTTCATATTATGACATTGTCGTATAACTTTGAAATTATTAAATTATATTTTAGAAAATTAGTTATAGTTTAAAAACGAACTACGTTAACGATCATTTACCATTTTTTGGAAACAATAGATGATATAAATCAGTTTAAAAGCAACTCCTAGAGTCATTCATTCGGGCATCGTTAATACGCTCGCATATACTATACGTAATATTTTTATATTTATTTTATTTTTAAATTTATTAAATATCCTTGATTATTTTGTAAAAAAAATTTTTAATGTTATGCAAGTACAAGTGTGCATATATTGTGTCAGTACATAATACTCACACTCCGTACATGAATATTGAATTTATTAAAAATTGAATGAATTTCAAAGTATGTGCGTAAAAATTGTGCATGTATTTATGATTTTATAGGTAAAACGTCAAGATATTTATTTATTATTATTTTTTTTTTTCTTTAATTTTTAATACTATGCTTATGTCCTTTAAGTCTTTTTAATTCCCAAAACCTTTTTTAATATTTAATGAGAAAATAAAAGCATATTTTTAAAAGTTTTGTTAAAGTATTTTTATATTTTCATATATGTATTTTAAATATTTGAATTATTTTGAAAAATGCATGAATATTTTGAATATATGGGAAATGCTTTTAACAGATAGGAAATTTGTTTGTAGTTTTTTTTAGATTGAATTTAAGAAGGAAGTGAGAACTTAAATTAAATTATTTTCTAGTTCAAAATATTGAACAATATTTATAATTTCATTGTAACCATAACATACCATAACAAATTTGAATTTTTTTTGAATTGCAAATAAAAATTATGAGTAAATTCTAAAACACATCAAGTTATTTATATGCCAAATAGAGCATCATAGTAGCATAGTTGTAAATGTATGTATCTAATAAACCTTTAATAAAACCATTAGAAACTTTGTTTACAAGTATATTTTTTTAAAAATTTGATACCTCATTTGATCTGTTATACTTGGAATATATTATGATATTAATATAATGTTGCAACCTAATTTAAGTTATTTTATAAATTTAGTACAACTTGTATTTCTATGTTTAAATTTTTTATAATTTACAATTAAATTATGTTTGTGCTTTCAATATAAAATAGCATAAAGTAAGGCAAAATATAATCTTAATCTCTAAGAAATATACATACATATACTGGGTGTCTCGTAACAAAGTGCATTGCTATATACCATTGTATAGGAATTCATGAGTAGTTAAAATTTTTCTGAGAAATCTGAAAGGATTATAACTAATGTAAATACTCATAAGAAAGCCCTTACTCTGAGATTTCCAAATCATATTTTATTAATGTGCCTGTCTTACACATTCGATTATTTATACCTGAAATTTCAATAATCAAAAAAAATCAGTCGAAATTGACTTTAAGCCCCTAAGGTGTAAACAGTATCTCCATACAAAAGTGTTGTCTACTCATGAGGGCCTATACAATGGTATATAGCAGTGCACTTTGTCACGATGCACCCTGTATACTAACATAGATAATATATGTATGTATTTATGTATTTTTAAGCCCAATTAGACAATACTGTTATTTCCGGAAGAAAATTAAATAAAATACAAATTTTTTCTTATCAAATTCGAGAGTTTTATCTCGAATTTTCGAAATAAAGTACTTGGTTTTAAAAAATAGTAAATTATTTTATTGCAAAAATTTTAAATAATATACACTTGAGATATAATTTATAAAAATTTGCTTTCCATTTCAAAATTAAATTTTATTGTGTTATAGACCGAAGACAAATATCGGCACATACATATATTTATCAGGCCATAATCTAAAATTAATTTGGGAAGTATTCCAAAGTAAGAAAATTTATAGCAACAATGCTTAATATTCCGAAGCATTTCGATTGAAATATTTTTGCTCAATTTTTGAACATTCTCATTTTTTTTTGATTATTTTCAAAAACTCCTAAATTATTAAAAAAAAAATTATTGAAGTTGCTTGGCTTTGTATCTTTTTTTTAAATTTTGAAATTAAAAATTTTTATCTTTAAACAGTAATCGTTATATTGGATCAGTAACAGTTCACTTGGAAGATTTCAAAACTTGGAAATTTTTGATTTACTCTCTGAGCATCAGAGATACAACATGTACATAATGTCTAATAGAATTTTGAATGCTGAAAAAAGTAGATTTGTTTGTACTTCGGTGCAAGATAGTCTGTAAATGACATGAGTGACAAAAATCTCATTTTTGTCGATCTTATAATCTCACTATGTGTCCTTGGCATAATTCCGTAAGTATAGAAAATTATTGTTACAAATGTTATAAATCAATAGTTTTATTATAAAATTAAATAAGTTTAAATTAATTAAATTAAACGTTAATTCATTTTTGGCAATTCTGCTACTCGATCTATTTTAAATTTAGAATACACATTTATTTTAAAATTTGAAAATGAATTGTACAAAGGAAAAATACCGACAGACCTAGGTAATTATTTTGATAATAGATTGATAAACGATAGAAACCATTTCGATTTTTTATGATTAATGCCTTATTAACCGGTTCATTTGATAACACTTCTATTGAAATTAAATAGGTATAATGTACAAATAAATTTCCTAAATATTTTCGTTGATCTTTTGTACTTTAACTGATAAGAGTAAATTTTTGCCTTTGAAATTTGTTGTTTGAATGCTACAAAGTATGTTTGCATAAATACTTTGCATAAAAATGAATTTCAAAGTTTAAATTTATCTAGACAGTTATAGAAACAGAAGATATCTGTACAATATTGTTCTATGTGATTAAAGGTTATTAGCTTTTGTATTACCGATTATGACATTATTATTACAGTCTGTATATTTACATATACATGTAATAAAATATTTTATGGTGATAATATAAAAATTCCAAGTAGAATTTTGTTAGTACTTAGGCTGTTTCGGGACTTCACATTTAAATCTAGTTTATTGCATAATTTTCTTTCCGAAAACTTCGAATAATATTTAGTGTGTCCAAACCTCATCGCACTTCATACTAGATTATCAGTCAAAAAATTAGTGTTGTTTAGTGTTGTTAATCCGTTAAAATTTAGTTATTGGTAATCCGTCAATAGTGTTGGTTTTGTTATTAGTATGGGACTAGAAGATCGCATTTCGAACTAAATTTCAACTAAATAAGCAATTTGAATTAAATAAAGAAGTTAAAGAAATGTTTTTAGAAAAAGGTTAAGCGAGGAAATGACCTATAATATTAAGTTCTAATTAAAACGAACACGTCAGGACGTAAGCACCAATTGCAAAAAAGTAGACAATAGTTAAAAGAGTAGCTCTTTAAGTTTTGAATTGTCATTTTGCCTACATTTATATGCATGCTGATTTCTTGTAGTTTGAGATTGAATTATTTAAGAAACAAGATGCACTATTTCGATTTCATTCATTGTGAAAAGTATTTTACGACACCAAACGTATAATATAATATAATGTAATGTGATTGTAATACCTGACAATAAAGTTTCCTTAATTTGATAAAAAAAAAATGTTGACAATTTTAATTAATATAATTATTTTGTAGGGAAAATTTGCGAAAACTTAATAATTCTTCTGCACAGATTTTAACACACAAAACTTGCAACCTAGAAGCTATTCCTAAATTACCCCAAACAGTATACACACTTCAACATTCTGGTAACTTTTAAAAAAGGAAATGCATTTGATATTACAACTTACTTTTTCGATAAGTTTGTACGAGTTATTTCATTTTTTTAGATATAAGGGAACAAAAATATGAAGCAATCATATAATTTAATAAAAATGTAATTTGGTAATTATTTTAATCACGGTTCCTAAATCTTATTAGGTAATTTATTTTTTTATATCGCATTTATTTGTTTCGGTATTTAAAAATAAATAATGCCGTAACGACATTGTTTTTTCCGGCAAAATTTTTTGTATAAGTAGCTATCTATTTCATATGATTTTTTTGGTTTTAAATTATTGTGCAAACCTTGTACAGCTGACAAAATAATGCAGAAGTTATGATTTGGCTATAAAGGCTAAGAAGAAAATAACCTCATAGTTTCGAATAATTATTTTATTTATGCGAACAATATATAGAACCAAATCTTTATAAATAATATGTGTTAAAATTTTGGAGGTAGTTGAGAAGAGATTTCATAGTAGTGTTTTTACTGTACAGTTTTACACAACCTGCATTAGTGTACAACCTCCTTTACTTTCAATTTTACTAGGATCGCAACATTAATTCGTAATTGTTAAAGTAAAAACAAAATTTAATTCCAATTCATAATTTTATTATTCTTATTTAAATCATAATTTAAAAAATCACATTGTTTTGTCCTATTACATTATTATTAAACTATTAAATTTTTAAGAGCTTTTTACTTTAATATCAGCAATAAAGCAAGAAACGGATTGATCATTTTGATTTTTGATATCAACTTCAACGGCAACACCAATTTCTGGATATTTACCAATTGGTAAACTGAATAAATAAGTTGCACCTTCACCGGCATCAAGCGGACATTCTTGATCATTATCTAAATGTAAACAAACATTTCCGATATCACCTGGTAATTTGTATGGGACGGTTACACCGAATGCAGTTGCTCTAACTTTAGTTTGGAGTTTGCTTGCATCGTTATCTATTAATTAAAATTTGAAATTTATGTAAGTTAATTTTCGAAATTTTATTTTATAAGGAAAATTCGAAATTTTATTTTCCACCTACCACCAACGGTAAAATCTATTTCCATGCTGACTGTTGTTCCACTAACGACATTGCAGGGTAAACTATCACATCCTTCAACACGAACTGCAATTGGTGATGGTCCTGATTTACAAGCTTTAAATTCAGTGGCAACAGCGGCACCGATTAAGAAAGCAAATAAAACTAAACGAATCATTTTCTTTAAATTTTAGTTTTATTTTAATTAAATTTAATTTCAAAAAAGTTCGAAATTGTATCGAAGCTGATAAATTATGAATTGTGATTTTCTAACTCGTTATTAGTCTTTATATACACTAGAGGTGTTTAATGAATTTTCTCTAAATCTTCTTAATCAAGTGGCAAAAATATACACAGATAAGATTTATATGGTTACCAGGTGTGTGATAAGAGAGCAAGAAATTGATTTTTTATTCGATTTGATAAGACAGGCCAATATTGAGCTTTTGTTTTTTTTACTCTATTGGATTAAGCGATAAACGCTCAAACGTAAAGAATGACTTAGAGAAACATAAATGGAAACAGATTTATTATTATAAAATTCTATTAATAATTTAGTTCTATTAATGTATATATGTATATGTATATAAAAATAATAAATCAATGAAATTGCTATACAATGTTGATAAGTGCATTTAAGGGGCTTTTGAATAATTTGAATTGCACTTATGTATTAGAGAGAGTGTTATTATTTAACTGAATTAATTTTTCAGAAAAGCGTTTAATTAAGAGAACTCTAAATTAAAATTTTTTCCTGTTTTTGAATAGTTAATATTGTGGTAGAATAAAGTATAAAAGCTAAAATTTTTAACGAAAAGTTCGTCTCTAACATTTGTAGAAGTTTGTCTGTGAACCAGCTTTAATTACAATAATATCGGATTATTTAAACAATTTCTAAAATATCTTAGGTTTGAGAAAATTAATTTTTACTGCGAACTGATTTTACATTTTTGATCAATTTCATATAAGGAAATATTTAACGAAATTTTAAACTAGAAATTACATCTTTAATAAGAACCATCTTTAATTAAACTAAGTAGAAATTTACTAGTTTTCTTAAAACTTGGAATGAGAGTTAAAAAGATACTTTCAGAAAATAAAATTCACATACAGTTGCCGGATTGTGTTCCCCCGGCAAACATACTATTTATGACATATAACATATTATTTATGAAAATTAAATAAAAAGAAAATAATATCGTAAAATTTTTATAAATTAATAAAATATTGCAATTTTTTTTGTTTCTTTTTTTTTATTTTAGGTGACTAAAGTGTTATAATAAACAATATAACTGTCTCAATATCAAAGATTACAATAAATGTGCAGCTGCGTACATTGTTGACCGGTCTTACTGGTTTTCTGAACACCTGAAGTTATAATATAAGTATTTGAATATTTCTTATCGAAAAAGTAATTCTTATATTTGAAGCAGCTGGTTTTACAGGTGCTAAAAGATAAGAAAATGGCTAGAAGAGTCTTTGATTATTGATATTGTACGATAAAAATTTATTTATTTATTTTTTTAATGAACTTCCGAATACAATAAAAAAATTATTTTTTGATTTTTCCAAGGTAATAAATAATGTTTTCTTAAAAAAATATATGTATGTAAATTTTATTTTTTATTTGATATTAAAAAGAAAATAATGGAGCAATGAACTTAGTGTTCGTTGTTGACATTTATAAAACTGATATCTGAATAATTCAAATATGAATGAGGTGTTATATATGTATGTATATCCATCATGCCACTAGGATAAAATTATTCCGAAGTATACCGAAGTAAGAAAACTTACAATAACAATGTTTAATTTTTTATATTTCAAAGTGTGACATTATGTGAATTAATTATACATGATAATACACAATTAGAAACATTTGGACAGAAAAAAAACAGGAATTGCCTAGTATTATTGAATTGCTAATCAAAATTGTTGATGTTCTTGTAAATAAATTAGGAACAGTTCATTAATATACTGTGGTGAAGAGTAAGAACAAAAATGTTTCAAAACATTTGCATTTCATGTTCATATATACTTGAAAAGAAGATAATATGAATTTTCAATCTTGGAATATCGGGATGTTTTCAACATATTTAACAATATATATGTATGCCATTAAAACAAATAACGTCTTGGATAAACATTTAGTAGTTTAATAAACCTTTCTCTAAAGATAATTTTGTTGAGTACTAATTCAATTAACGGGTCTTAGTTTGTATTACATACCCTCTAAATTACGAAGTTAAATTCACAAAATTCTTAAGCAACTTTTAAGTTTTTCTGTTTCTGCATTTAATTTTATTTAAGTAAAGCACATTAGATCATTATTCATCAACCTTGAATTATTAACAATATTATTTTTAAAATAAGGTATTAGTACAGAACTTTAAGTCTAAATTAAGTTATTACAAAAATATAGAAAGATTTCAGTAGTCACATATAACAGGAATTATTAATCAAAAAATAATTTTCTTATACAATAAAACTTACAAATCAATGAAAATTTAAACTCGCGTGCTTAGCAATCATTAAAAGAAAATAATATGTAATTGAAGCCGCAAAGTGTAACCTTTTGAAATCAATAATCTTAAATTAAAAGTTTGAACAGCTGTCTAAATATGTCATAAATAAAATAATAATGTTTAAAATTTAAAGACAAAAATTGCTTTATTATTGAAAGAATTGCTTACCTTGATAAAAAAGTATGACAACATTATGAATAGTATGGTATTTATTATTAAAATTAATTAATAAAATTAAGAAGATTTTTAAGAAAATTTTAAGTCTTATATATAGAAAATGCTTAACAATAATGTCCCATTATATATGGTACGGTTTGCGACGTACCTTGCATCGTAAAAGTCTTCATATCTTGAACTATATTTGAATATTTTTTTTTCTTGCAAGAGTAAGAATTTTCTAAAAAGAAAATCTCATAAAATTTTATTTATAATTCATAAAGCCATAAATAAAATCAAGTTAATTTAATGGATAATATAGAAAAATTACTATTTCGTGACAGAAAAACCTCTATATGAATGATGAAAATTATTTTTATGATTATTTGTTACTTTATATAAAGTAGAGTATGTACATTTGTCTAGACCTAAGAAAAAATATTTTGTTTTATTGAATAAACATCTTAGAAATATCCAATTTTATGATACGATATAATTATATCCAGAACTACAATCTGATCTTCTATTTGTGGCATTTAATATTTCAAATTGGTAATTAAACATTGTACAGTGTTGGACAAATTATCAATTCCGCATTCAATACATATGTTTGTTTTGACACACATTTATTTCTTATATATATATATACATGTGTAGCATTATTTCTTACTCATGTATATTAAACCACCAACATTAATAGTTAATAGAATTCATAAAAATTTGTATAATAATTTTAAATGTAATGAAATATTGTAAATTTTGCAGGTAAAAAAATATCATTTTCTGTAACTATTTTCAACCCTAATAATTTTCATTACAAAATATTTTAAACTTTTGTTTTTTTAACAAACCACAACACATCAAATATTTTAAGGATTTTATCAGAAGAAAAAGCAATACAAAATAAGTAAACATTTTTTTAGGAAAATTACATATAAATTTTTTTTCTGTTTTCGTTCTTCTTATCCTATAGAAAAGCGAATCCATTATCGTATTAAATTTCACTGCGTAAATACGCTTTTAATTAAAAGAAAAAAATTATTAAAAATTTCATTTATTAATTGGCATATATTTGGTAAATTTAATGAAAAATCATAAAATTAAGAAGATTTTAAAGGTAAAAATATTAAAGGATAATTATTATTATTATTTTTTTTTTTTGAATTTAATATTAAGTTTAAATTCTATAGAGAAGTTTTGGAAATGTAACTTAAAAAGTTATAAATATAATAGAAGAGAAATAGAAAGGACGTTTGCATAACAATACTCAATGGTATGTATTATATACTAACGGTATGTCTTAGACCGTATATCTAATCAAAGAAGCAAAACAAAAATTTATAGAATAAATAAAAGGGGAAAACGTCAAAATTATGCAACTATATATATATATGAATAGAAATTCATCAAAAGATTTTATAATTCACGTTATGAATTTCAAACATATTGTAAATTTTCAATTATAAACCCTATAATAATGTACTCAGTTTATGCGAGAATTCCACGCGTTCTCATAAAATTTTTATTCTTAATAAATTTTTGACTAAAGTTCGTTTCAGCAAAGAATTTCTGTATCAAAGTATGTTTACATTTGAATTTATTAACAAAGTATATTTAAGTGTTAATATTTTTATTAATAGGATTGTCCCAATAAAAATATGTCATGCCGAATTTCATGTAAATATTCGTGTGTGCATTCTTCTTGTCTCTCTGTATGTCATGTATCCTTTTTCTCTCTGTAGCTTTTTGATATTACATCCTTCCAATGCTAATATGAATAGCAAGCTTTCATGTTTATTGAATGAAATAATAGGAAAAGTTTTCAGTAAAGACACAAACCTGTGAAAATAGCAAAATTTTCAGATGATAGGTAATGATTAAAAATTTAGGAATAAGTCTTAGTTGTTAAGAAGTTAATTTATAAAAATTTTAACTTGAAATGATTTATTAGTAATATTTTAAAGTACTATAAATTGTAAGTCTTCATAATTCTGTTTAATTAAAATAATTATGTTGTTTTAAATTGATTTTGTTTTTTTTTAAAGCGTATCTATTACACTCTAAATGAATAACATCGCAAGTGAATAACACTCAAAACTTCGCCAGCTAATTGCAATTCTAATTTTATTAGAATTTATTTCGGTTTTTATTTATTAATAAATTGTTAACCTTTATTTTTACTTGAAAAAAAAAAACAAAGATATCGTTAGATTAGATTGGATTATATGAGGTGACAATTCACCCCAACTCAATAAGTGGACCTCTTCATGTGACCCTTACCTAAGTCGACCGTATCTCGTCTGAAGGCCAGTGTGAATTCTCACCTTTTCCATTATTTTAATATACCGATATTTTACTACCAATAGACTTCTGATCATAATCGCCCATATGCTCCTACTGCAGCCTGAAATTATTGATAGCATTTGAATCCAAGAAGGAACCTACTCTATTAAGTTTTCATAATTAATACTTAATTATAAATAATGGGTATATTTTGTGAAATTCAAATTGAATTAGTAAAAATTTAACATTGAAAAGTTTTAAAATCCAAATATTGTAAACTGTAAAAATTTTTACAACGTCAATATTGATCTAAAATGTTTAATAAAGGGTAATTAAAATCAAGAAAATCAAAGCAAGAAAAGCAAAGCGTGTATCTAAAAATTAAAGTAATATAATATACTGTCAAAACTTTAGTATGAATTTATTGACAATTTCAATCGAACAGCCAATAATTTTCAAATGTAATTTTTTTAATGAAAATATTTTTTTGAATTTCCGAATTTATATAGAACCCTTTCGTATTAATAACTGTACTTTTCCATTTTTGCATAATAGAACTTTATAATTTTTGGCAAGCGTATGTATTTCCGTAATATATTTAAATTTAAAAAATTTTACTATTTCTTTTACCGAAAAACATTTAAGTTATTTAACACATTTTCTTAAGAGTACAACTTCTTCTGTACCATTGATTAAAATTAATTTATTTTTTATAAATTATTGTACGAGTATATGTTTCCAACCGGATCAAATTAAATTTTTTTTTTAATATACATTTTTGTTTACTTCACCCCGGAAAGGAGTATAGGACTGGTTTATGATATTAAGATAACCATGTCCCAGTTTCTTGCGTTATTGGGTTTTTAACTAAGTTGGTGACGAGTCCGTAGGTAATTATAGAAAATTATGAATATAGAAAACCGTATAAAACTCCTCCTTGTATTAAATGAGGGCGGTAAATACTTTTACAATTATTGCTGGGATCTAGATATAAAAAAATAAGTTCTTTTTAAAGATTTTTTAAATGAATATTGTCCTTTCTCTCCTCTTAATAAAACGCATTGTTATTTTTTTTTTTTGTTTTATTACCATGTTTTTTTTTATCACAAAGGAATAAGAAGCTTTTTTTATTTAATATTTATATATTTATATATATATATACATATACATATATTTTTTCTTTTTTTCTTATTTGATTTTTTAATTACTTTTTTTAATTTTTTTTAATTTATTTTACATTAAAACATTTTTGTTTTTTTTTTTTTTTGTTTTTATACCTAATTTTATAGCGTCCTTTTTTTGGTTTTTTTTATTTAATTATTTATAACTTATTTTTGAATTTCGTCTTTTATTTTCCTTATATATTGTATACGTATATAATATGTTATTTGATATCTATATATATTTCTTAAAATTAATATAATTTCTTTAATATGTATATATATATATGTGTATATCTACATGTAAATTTAATTTATAACGATTATTCTATTATTTATTTTTAATAATTATTATTTCTTTGTTTTTTTTTCACCTTATCGAATAATATTTACAAAGTTTGAATGGTCTAAATAAACATGCAGAAATTAAAATGAAGGAATAAAAGTATTACATACATATTTATTTAATTAAATAAATTGATTTTAAATGAAGACATCAGTCGTTAATTAATTGCTTTGATTAAAATATATTTAATAGCATTACAAAATTAATTTAAAAATATTTTTAAAAATATATTAAATTTTTAATATCAAGGTTTTTAATAAATTATTTCTAATGAATTTTAAATTAATTTGATACATTTTGTGTTTACTTAATACGAAGTCGAAAAATGCACATTATTCGACTGATAGAGAGTTGGAATTGTCGGGACATTAAAGATGATATGTTTGAATAAAAATTTTTATTGATATTTAATTCATAATTAACAAAATTTTTAAAATTGATATGTATAAGTATGTGATAAGCAAGTTTTGTTCAAAAAAAAAAAAATTATAATAAATCTGTTAATTTCAATAATGTTATTTTAAAATATTATTAAAAATATGAGTCAATGCTACTTATTTTATGATTTCTTGTAGTTAGTTCGGCTATAGTTTGACGTATGACAATAAAACGTAAAAATATTCATGCTTTGTATAGAAAAACAATGTTTCGAATTATATTTTGAATTATGTTTTGGACTAAGATTCACTTTATTTAATATTACTAATATTTTTTAAAAGAATTATGATTTTCCTTGCAATCAATCAATAAAGTGTAAATTTATTATTATAAAAATATAAAATAATATATTAATTAGGTTTAACAGGCTAAATTCATTTTATTAATTCATTATTAAGTACAATCGAACCAAGTTTCATATTATATAGTCAGGACAACCAAGTTTTTATTAAATAGAAAATTATCAATTTAAAATTTTAAAATTTCGAATATTGAAAGCAATAAGAAAATGGTTTAAAAACGCATATAATCCCATTAGTATCTTCATACTTTGTAAATTTTTTAAATATACTAATATAAATGATGCATAATAATTTAAATGAGTACCGACTCACAGTAAATAATAAAATAGTTTATAAAAAAAATTTATTTCTTCTTTTAAAAAGGAAATTTTTTTATAAAAATTTTATGATATTGAGTGGATTTTAATTTTGGATTTTTAAAAATGTAAAATTCAAAGTATGTAGTTGGCAGTCTTTGAAGGCAGTTTTGATTTTATTTTTAATAATTTTTAAATTAAATTGCAAGTATAAAAATTATTTACAATTGATTGATTGCTTCGATGTAATATTAATACATATATAATTATTAGTAGTTGCAATTAATATTAGAAAGATAGTTAGCATTGTGATATGTAATTCAATTAGTTCTTTATATGTAAATCGATATAAATAAATAATTTTGTGGTTTAAATAGAATATAGAGTGACTTTTCTTCCCGTTTTTAAACAGCTCACCATTTCTTATGAAAAGCTTTTCTTCCTCATTTTCAAGAAAATAAAGATTAATGATTTCTTCGTAATACAGAGAATACCAAACGATTTTAAATGGATATAATTTTGTAAGGATCACTCCTAAAATATTATTTTCCCTTGGTTTTACTCCTCTAATGATTATTAACGCCTCTAGAGAAAATTGTTTTAAGTTGTTTGTTTGTTGGCGAATTTATTTTTATGATAAAATTGTAAACTTATAATGATTAATCAACTTGTTAATACTCATGTGACCTTACCATATTTAACTAATATTTTTCCATTTCCTTTAAATTCATAGGACACCTTTTTTTTTTTGAACAAAACTATAAAATTATTTGTAAACGCTACTTCACTATTACAACTTAATTAGTTCTTTCTTTTTTGTATTTTGCTTGCTTTTTATACACGTATTTATTGTCATATTATGATAATTGTAATTAAATTGAATAAAAATACTGCAATTAATTTTGAATAAAAATTTTTAAAAATTCTGAAAATATGAAATAGTTATACAAATTAATTCCATTCTGTTATACAATTTATGATATTTTTTTTTCAATAAAAACAAAAATGTGATATCGGGGTTTTTTAATTTTCTTATTTTGTATATATATATATACGATATTTACATTTTTATATATATAAAATTTTTAATTACACAATAATAATATTTAGAGTTAATTAAATAACAATATTGGAAAATATTTAGGATATGTTTCAAGATTTATATCTATTATTTTAAAATTTTTTGTTATATAACATTATTTTCAATTATATATGTAAGTAAATCATTTATATGAACGCAAAGAACCAAAAAATATGTTTACAAAATTTTAATTTAAAATTTGTTTCTCTTCAAATTTTCTATTTTAACATTTTTTTTATAACAGAAAACAGCAATATACACATGCATAAATTATATTCAATTTATTTGATTCGTTATACAAGTAATTTGTAATGTTTATAATTATTTTTCGAAAATTAAAATATGTTTTTATTGTAGGCCTTTGAAAATTCTTTATGAACCAGAACGTTGAATTTAATTATACCAGAAATTTTTTATATCTATTATTACTGTTATAATATAAATTACGAGTAGTAAAGATTTACCATTAAAAATACAAACTGAAATTTTTGATTAAAAATAATAATGTTCTCATATTAGAATAATATTTGTTTTACTGCAAGTAGCTAGAATGAAATGAATTATTTTATACAAAAATTGTTAATAGTAATAGGTTTGTGTTTTGAGTAAACATTTACTCAAATGAAAAATTAATTTTCAAAAATGAAATTTTTGAATGGAATAAATATATTAAATACACAAACCTTACAGGGTATCTTTTCAAATACATGAACCAATAGAAATTTTTTATTAAAAATAAATCAGAACAATATAAATATTTATTTAACTCAAAAAAATTAAGTCATTTATGTGAGTAAATAATATTTTATTATAATTTTGTTGTTTTTTCAATATTCAGAGTGTTATTTTAACATAACTTATTATAAAAAGGATATTTCGGTTTGGGAACAGGATTAAAAAGATATTTATAAATTTTCTCTTTATGTAATTTTTGTTTTTCTATCAATAAATTTGTTTTATTTTTGCTCTGTCTTATATGTACTAAAACTAAAAATATTCTGTTTTCCTAAAATTATTTAAATTTTTTTGTAATTACTTTTGGTTTTTTTTTTCAATTTCATATTTCTTATATAATGAAGAATATTTTATAGCTAAAATTAGTTAAATTAATTTTAATATTTATCTAAATATTTTCACGTATATTTTTTTAATTTGCATTTTTGTGGTTTTGCAATTAATAATAATAAATTTAATAATATGGTTTCGTAGTTTAATGTTTTGTGTTTTTTTTAGACATGTTTTCAGTAGGTTCATTTAATTTCCTATAATTAATTTTTTATTTTATTTATATTAAATAACAGATTCCATTTACATTATTATTAATTTTATTATTTTTTCTTTTATATATTGTTTTCGTTTTATTGAAGTGGACCAGTCTTTAGTTACAACTTTTTCTCTTTTCTATTTCGAAGTACGATAATAGTTTTTTATGTTTTAAAACAAAAATTACAAATTTCATACTAATTTTTTGCTTCTTATATATTTTAATTTATCAAATGATTGTTAAAGTTTTTAAAATATTAAAATTATATGTAATTCTAATTTTTTTTTTTCATTTAACAAATTTCATTATTAAATATATGCAATTTTTATATTGTTCCAAAATAACATTTTTTCTTTTGGAATTTATAAAAAAATGTTTGGAGGTTTTAAATTTTTTTATTTAAAAATTTCTTTTTTATGAATTGAAATTTAAATTTTCATGCTACATCGAAATTTGTTTAAAATATGACCCTACTTCCTTGTTCTTTGTAATTTACATAGCTATGATGTATGCATAGAGGAAATTCTTGTTAAAGCGTGAACTATGTTAGGTACTCTGACATTACAATTGTAATAATATAGTAATATAGAGAAATCGATGATAGAAACATTCTGAATTTTTCTGTATGAAATTCCGCTGATCTATACATTGTTGTTAAGACTTATTATCATAATAATATGAATGCATGTACATATTATTATTATTATTATATTATTGTAAAAATCTGTTTTTGAGACTCAAACTTGAAAATGTTTTAAAATTATTGCATTTAATTAAGATATTTGTTAAAATTTTTTTTATTATTGTTATTATTAAGAACAAAATTTTGATTTAATTAGAATATAGTACAATAAGAAGGTCTTATAATATCATTTTCCTGGAATTCTACTTTAAAAATAAAATATTTTATAGAAAAAACTTTAACAACCATTATTAATATTAAATGTTTTATAGTAATTGAAAATAAAGAATAAAAATAATTTATTTTTACATTATTGTTTTTCTTTTTATATTATTAATCCTTGTTTTTTTTCATAGAGATCTGTAAAATCACCTTCAAATCTTCCTTTAATTTTTATATGATATGAGCTCACCAATAACCGTTATCAAAACGATTATAATAGGCTTTACAGTTTTTCTCATAATTAAAAACAAAAAAAAACAAAGAAGTGAAAATATCTACATTATTCCAGATATTATGTAATACTACCACATATTAATACAATATATATGTACAAGGATATAAAATAAAAATAAATTCTCTTTATGGGTTACAATACATTATATATGAAAAATTAATATTAAAAAATCGTTTTATATGTACATTTTATTGTGTACTTATATATATAAAAAATTTAAATTAAAATAAATGTATATGTATATATATATTATTTTATAAAGTTACTATAAATTAAACACAACTCTCTGGTCCAGGTAAAGTATCTGTTATTATATGATTTCTACTACTAGTTGTGGAATTATTTGTTGTATTTTGTATTGTTGTTGTCGTTTGTCCACTCGATATATTTTTACTAGTTATTGAATTCATTGATGAATTATTTATTCTTGGCAATGTTGTTATATTATTTGCATGTAAATGAGTTTGTTGCTGTTGATGTCCAACAATTGAATTATTACCTAAACTAAAATCAATACTAGATGCTAAATAATCATTTATTGATGATGATAATTCACTACCACTACCACTATTATTCATACCATTAATAATATTCATTCCATCAACAATAATACCAGGATTAATATTATTACCAATATTACCATTAGTATTACTATTAGCACTAGTAATATTATTACTACTATTATATAATTGTTGCTGTTGCTGATGTAATAATTGTTTATGTTGTGCTAAATTGATATTATTTTGTTGTAAATCATTTACATTTTGATTATTACAACTATTACTATTAAAATTTCCTATCGGTAATGTGTCATATCTATTATTTGTAATTGCTGTTGTTGTAGTTGTTGATCCAGTTGGTACTATTGAAGAATTTGAATTTATATTACAATTACTACTGTTAATATCATGACGTGATCCTCTTAATGGAATCATTGAAGTTGGTATCATCATATCAGATGATATTTGTGAATGATGATGTGGTTGTTGGTGCGGTTGTATTGAAGTTGATGTTGTACCAATTGTTGGCAAAATAGGTTGTTTTATACCAAATTGAGGTAATGCGTCATAGAGCATATTTTGTGGATTATGATAAGCATTTCGATTATCTAAAGAATTTGTTTGTTGATGTTGTAATAATATTTGTTGTTGTTGTTGCTGCTGTGGTTGCTGCTGTTGAGGTTGTTGTAAGGTCGATGATGGTGAAGTGCAATTTGCTTGAATTTCGTTTTCATTACTGTATTGTAACGATGGAGGTGAGTCCTAAAAATTAAATAATAATAATTTTTAATGCAAAAACTTTTATTTTTTTAAATGTTAAAAATATTTATTATTTTTTATTGTAAGTCATTTCCAAGAAACAGAATTTCATATTCATTCAAATTTTAAATTAAATAAAAATTTTTTTTTTTTTAAATTTTATGAAAAGCATATTGTGCATAGCTATTTTCAAGGTTTGTTTGTTTTGATATTAAATGTAACCGGGTGGGGTAAAATATTTTTAAAGAATTTATATTTTGGTGATGTTGTCAATCATCGAAAAAAAGATGCATGTAAAAGCATTTTTATTTAAAGTATTTATAAAAAAATATTTTTATGAAAAACAAGAATTCGAAGTTTGAAATTTGGAAAAGGGAGAATGGTTTGAAAGGTAGAAAATTATTGGATTACAGTTTAATTAAAAATTTTTTTAACTTTTAAATTAAACATTTTTGAGAAAATTCCTATTCGTTGCGAAAATGTTAATATATTTTTAAAAAAATGAACCAGTAACAATATACCGTTAGTTTTGAGCAGCGCTCCCATTAGAATATAAAAACATTCTGAAAGTTATTAAGTTTGTTAAAGGATTAATTTTGGCTTTCTGTTTCTAAGAGTATACATGTGATAATTTACGATTTAAGTAACCAAATTAAATACTAAATAATGTTTTCAAATCTGACACGTTTATTTAGCAATATATTCATTAAAATTATTTATATTTACATTAAATTGAGCGGAACTTCGCTGCCGGAAATTCAATTACACCGGTTTTAAAAAATTTATTTTTCATAGAAATTTTATAAGAAATTAAGTTATCATGTAACAGTTATACAGAATACCGTTTAAAATTATGAGCTTCCTTTTATACTTGTACCAACGTAATGTTAATGGAGTACTTCGGTTAGCTGCATTACAACTTCAGAAGTTATCTGGCTATGTGTCAGAAATTATTGAAGTTGTTTTAGTGAAATTTTTCAAAAGTCAATATTTTATTAGAGCTCTTATATTTGATAAAGCTAATTGAGATTTCTTGGGCCACAAACCAACTTGATAGCTGTCATACAACTTCGAAAGCCATTTATTAATTATTGAAATTATAGTTTTGGAATATATTATGTACTTTTATTAAAAAATAAAGAATAATAATTTTAAATATAGCATATATACATATAAAATCTCTTTGAAGCTTTTCAAAAGGTAATAAATTCAAAAATAGATAATTAATTTTTCAAAATTCATAAATTTTAAGTAATGTTGTAGAAGTGCACTACAAATCTATTTATTTAAATATTTACATACAATATTAAATTCCTTTTGATAGTCCATGTGATGAATTTTTTACTATGACTACACCCAATAGGTGTATGAAAATTTTTCATTAGCTTTTTTCAATCATTTAATTTCACATAAATTTTCGGAATTATTTGAAAATTTTGAATTTAATAATGAATATTCTAGATATATGATTTTCCCTCTTGATACTACTCTATATAAATTTAGAATATTTTTGAGAGCTCATATAATTATAATAAAATTTCGTTTGTAATTTATATGGGAAACTGTCGTTTTATACAATATTCAATTATACATATTAGTTTTTAACACAAATGAAGCTCGCTAAGTAAAATGTCAGGTAAAATGTTTGTTGTTCATTCAAAAATTCATTTAAATTGGTTTTGTGATTTTTTGTAATTTTTTTACTCAACCTGTTTAACCTATTATTTGAATATATAGGGACATCAGCAAAACTATAATTTAACTTATATTCCAATGAATTGTGTGTCTTGGAGTAGTTTAAAATACAGAATTTAATAATTATATACATAATTAAGGGATCTAATGTTTTTTTACGTATACAAATAGAAATTAAGGAGATGTAGTTTTCTAGATTTGTAAAATAACTACTCATTTTTCAAAATTTTAATGGCACCTTTACATGTTGAAATCGTTGATCAGCCAAAACATTCTATTTTACCTAATTTTCATTTTAATATGTTTTTAAAGAAAATCATTGATAATTTATTGAAATTTTTATTAATATTTATTTATTCCTATGTATACACAATGTAGATTATGTAAGTGTGTATATTCTTCAAAGCTGATTTAATATAGAAATTTTGATTTAGGATAATTTAGAGAGTGTATAATATTAAAAAAAATATCCTTTAATATTAATATTAGTATTGTTGTTGTTATATACTTACATAATTATTTGATGTTGTAAAATTTTTATTTCCAATAAAAAGAGCATTAGGCCGACTATTTAATGGTGAAGATGAATTATGGCGTCCAAGTGAAGTATCTGAACCTAAAAAATAAATAAAATTTATAATATTTTTATAAATAAAATTATATTTTAATATTCTTTATGTATGTATGCGTATGTTTGTGTAACCATAATAATATATTATGTGTATGATGTTTCTAAACGATAGAGTCTATGTTTATAGAGTAGGTTATAAAATGACTTTGTAAGTATTAATATGGGTTCATAATTTTGAATTTATTTTACATTGTTTAAATATCACGCATATTATGAATTTATAGATAATTAATTACCTTTCTGTGCATTTAATATATCAGGTTGTTTTTCAATTCCTTGTTTTAGTGTATAGGCAACAACTAATCTTTGATGGCCAGCTCCAGTTTCAAGTGGTGCTGTTAATGTTACATCCATTCCTAAAATTATAATACGAATTTAATATATTCAATTATAATTTTAAATTTCATGTTATTAATAATTTTATTACGAAATTAAGAGAAAAATACAATAAAATTTTGTGTAGTTAAAATTTGTAATAAAATTTTATAAAGTATTTTAATTTTGTTATGACTAACTGTGTATGTATGTAAGCATGTACATATATCTATGAACAGGATAAATGCCAATTGAAAATTTAATATATGAATATGTATGTAAGTACATAAAATTTTTGAAATATAATTTTGTAATTATTTAAATGTTAATTATTATTTAAATAAATGAAATAGGAAAAAATAAATTAACAAAAATCGGATTAAAAATTATAAAATTGAATTTTTTTTTGTGTTATTTAAATTATTACAATTATTATGTAAATTATTTCAATTTTTTTACAGTTGTGTTATAACACAATAATTGAAACAATGTGAACTTTAGCTTGTTGCTATGTAGTATTTTATTTACATTGATTATTGTTGTGATGAGATTTATTTATTACTTGAATTTTTAATTTACGTGCTAATATGAAAGAAATTTATTTATCAAATATGGAGATATAACCCATGACTTTTTAAGGAAATTTTTGGAGTTAAACAATTTTACTGTTTAAAATTTATTGCTGACTTAAAAAAATTTCAGTAAAATTAGTTGGTTTATATGGTTATAGCTTGTGATTATCAAACCTGTTTAATTTATAAAATAAATTTAACGTTCCTCACGCAGACTACGTATTATAATTGTTCTACCACAATTTTCTACCCACGACTAAATTTAGTTCTAGAAAATATTCTCTAATCTAAATATTTCAAGACAAATTAATTAAAACGTGTACTTCTAGTTTCGCATATGCTAAACCTACTTGTAATTTAAAAAATTTTGATTTTTCTTTAAAAAAAATAAAGATATTCTAATTTTTTAGCACTTTTCCAAAAAATTTTTGAAAGAAAGTGCTTATTAGTTTCCCTCTGTTCGTCCGTGTGTCTGTTTACAAAACTTCTACACCCTTGAAGATGGAAAGCTGAAATTTTGTACGTACACAGATCTTTACTAGAAACTTATTTTTGTAAAACAAAATTTTTACCTATCTCCCCCCTCTAGAAGTTATACCCTCCAAAACCCTAAAAATGGCCTTTTTTAACTATTTGTTGCAATGAAACTATAAGCATTTTTGACATTTTTTTAACGCAGAAAGGCAGTGCGTTACTTCCTCTAGCGCGGTATACTATAGCTAAACTTTAGAAAATCAAAATGGCCGTTCAAATTTACCGTTACTCGTATCTAAAGTCTTTTTTTTCCACATTTTTGATTTCGTTTTTCTTCTAAACCCCAGCTTGCAGAAGTTTGAAATTTTAGGGGCTTTTAGACATTAACAAATAGTTAATTTCGTTAGAAAAAAATTTTTTTCCATCTCTACCCCTTCTCAAGTTATCGCCTCTTGAAATTTGTAAAATTTGAATTTTTGACACCTTATATTTCCGAAACCGTAAGCTTTTTCAAATTTCTATAAACGCAAAAAGCTAACGGTAAATTCCATGACATTAAAAAATATAATTATTTTTTTTAACTCATACAATTAACCCTTAAAATTGAGCATTATGTTAACTCCACTTTACATTAATTTTTGCTTTATTTCAAAGACTGCATATACACATCATCCTAAATATATGCAATCCTAGAAATAGTTGTGTATATGAATGAAAATAATTTGAATAGTGTGATAGGTATACATAGACTGTATTTAAAAGCAGAATTTTAACTTGTTGAAGGGAAAAGTGCTACAATACAAACCATAGGTTTGACCCAACTTTATTTATAAATCCAATGCTGTTAAAATTATGCTAGAAATAGCTAATATTATGTAGTATTACTAATTGTACTATATTTATGTATATGATATGGTAAATGTGTAATTGTAATAGGACTGGGTTAATAATTGTTTCTAATTCAAAAGAAATTTGTGAAAGATGTGCAGTGTATAATTCAGGATAATCGTGCAAAAACCGATTTTTGACATCAAAACTTTACTGAACTCCTTCATTTATTAACTCTTTTAATAATAAATCACAGAATTTTTGTATTTTGTTGAGAAAGATAAATTAATTTAAAATATTTTATTATAATTTACACTATTCGTTTTTAATTGCTTATGATAGAATTTTAAGTTGAAGAAGTGTGTACATACTGTAAATATGTATATACATAATATAGATACTTATGTATATATATTATAAATTTTCTGAAATTGTTTATTTCATTTTTATTACCGATGTTTTTTAAAAATGAAGATATTGTAAAAATACACATGCTTTTGTCATATACACAGACCCAGTTATGAACATTTACCATTATATACCATTAATAATTTTAGATGCTCATTCTACATGAATAATTTTAGAAATATTTTTTTTCATATGGCCATTGGCTATTTTATTGTATAGAAAATTGTAAATAATAAATTTGTTTTCGATGGTCTATGAATAATCAGTTGAAAGATCAAAAAAAAAAATTAATTAAGCAGCTTTATAATGAAAAATTAAGGTATATCAAAGTATGTTGCAAGTGATTTAAAAGATATTAATTTTTATGACTATAAATAAGTCAATAATAATTTGAAATTGACGTAGGACTAAAATTTGGAAAAAATAAACAAGTTATACAAGGTGATTCAATATAGAATACAATATTGTTGTATCATTGTTTAAAGTATCAAAAATGGGTAAAATTTTTGTTTGGAACTAATTGGCAAATATCAACGGTTCCCGAAATATAAGGGTTTTAACGAATTTTCACGAAATTCTTCTTGTCTAAGCTTTTTTGTTTATAACTTCCCTTCCGAAAAATATAAGAGGTACGTACAAACAATTCTTGAAAGAGTTAGAAAAGTGCTTGAAAGTAAGACTGAAAGCAATACCAAACATTCGAACTTTAGAAAAGGTAAATTTTTTTCCTTTTTTTATTTTTTTTACTTTTCTCTAAGGCGATAACTTCGTACGAATTTTTTTTTACAAAAATTTAGCTAGCTGCTTAAGTTTAGGTCATTAACTTTTAAAAGTCCATTAAATAAAAACAAAAACCATTCTGAAATTCAGAACCCTGACATAGATTTTAAAAGCTCTAGTAAAATGTAGAAAAATTGTCACAATTTGTAAGGTTTATTAATTTAAACTGGTGTTATAAAAGTCATTTTCGACATTTTAAGAACTTGGTCAAGTAGAAATTTTGCAACAATTCGTTAAAATCGGCAATCGTTGAGATTTCATAGCTATTTCCAAGCAAAAATTTTACTCATTTTTGATGCCCTAAATATGATATGTAATATTGTACTCTTTACTCAATCATCCTGTATATATATTTGAAATAATGGTCTTCTTGTTATATTAACTGAACTATGATAATTGCATAGTATCCATATTTTTGAATTGATTAATTTTTATTTTTTTTTATAAAAGATATCAGAATTCTTGAATTCAATTAAAATAATATAAAAATTTTGTGCTGGTGTAAGCTATTGCAAATTTGGTCGTTTAGGTATTCTTTTGACCTATAAATGGACCATAAAGGATTAATTAAGCAATATTTGTTACTTAAGCCAAATTTAAAATTTTGAAATTTTTTTATATACATGTAAGCAGATGTTATAAGTAAAAATTATGCAATTATTACAAAACATTTAACATTTATTACATTTTTGAAAATTGCAAATCTTATGTATTTAATAAATAAATAAAATTAATAATATTTCAATCATAGTTGCTGGTCATTGAATATTTTTATATTTCTAATATCAAAAGTGAAGATTAGGTTTTGAAATTATTGATTGTAGCCATTTCATACATATATTAAGTTTGTATTTAAATTTTTAGAAGTTTTCAACTATTAAAAATATTTGAGAAAAATTTTTTGTAATAATATTGGTACGTATAAATTTTCCAAAGTTGATTTTCCTATATACTTATAAATAAATAAATAAATAAAATAATAATGATACGTGATTCGCATTGTAATTTAATAATCATTTCACATATACATAAAATATTCATAAAAAATTCATGGAAAAATTGTGAATTAAATCAAGTAGATCATATCGTAGTTTTTTGTTTGTGAAAAATTTAAAAGTGTTTTTTCAGTAGGTTTGTGTATATGATTTATATATATGTATGTATACAAATATTAATTCCATAATTTAAATATGATTATAATTATTATTGAATCTATTGAAAGTTGAAACTAACAAAAATATTAAACAGTTGTGTTCAAATTAAAGACTTTCTATTTGCTAAGTCGAAGGAATATTATGCTTTGAGAAAATCAAGTTGTGGAATATCATTAATAAAGACGAAATTGTGTATATTCGCAAAAATCAATCCTCCTCATTTCGCTAAATGAAGGGTACTGATAAAATTTTGAGGGCCAATGATAAAATTTAAAAAAGTTTTAAAAATTTTAAATTTAATTGTAATTCAAAAAAAACTTCAGTTTATAAAATAATTTTTTTAAAATTCGTGTTAAACAATAAAATTTGTAATATTTTATATTTTTGTCCGTTTTTTAAATTCGGAAAAAAATGCAAGTGTGGTCCTAGCAAAATTTCCAAAATGGAATTATTGAATATTTTGGGAAATTCTCACTTTTGTTTCTTTAAACAAAATAATTTTAATTTTTTATTTTATTTTAATATTTACAATTTACAGTAGAAAAATAACATTTAGCATAAATATTTGAACTTATTTGAACGGAATGCGATAATTGTGAAGCTAGCGCTGTTAAAATATTTTGGGTCTGATAAAAATAAGGTTTGTGTAGAGAATAATATTAGATATCTGCTTAGTTTTCGGTAAAACAAAAAAATACATACATACGAAATTTTACATAAATGTAGAAAGAATTATAACTTAATTATATAACACACATGTATACAAAAATAATGTAAAAATACATATTATACGTTATATATAAACAAGAGTAAATTCTTGAATTTATTTGTTTTTTGAACTTTATTTTAATCCAAAAGATATAAATTAATATCGAACATGATGTCGACTACAATTTTTTTACTTAATTCATTTTAAAAGTATTTATTTAAATACATTTATGTATGGCTACATATTTATGTTATATACGTATAATTATAATCACCTTTTACTACATAAAAATGCTTAATTCTTTTATTTTTTTATAATATTATGTATGATTTATGTGTAGGTATAAATATATTACAAGACCATATAGTGTACATTCGGAAATACTTAAAAAAAAATTTATAAAAAATTACAAGAAACAAACAACAAAAAATAGTAATGTATCATAATTTTCCATTTTTATTTTCCACATAATGCACAAATATATATGTATGTATGTGTAGATATGATTTTTGTTCATTGTGTTTTAAATTTTTTTTTTTTATTTTATAACTTACCAAGATGTTTATCCTTATCATCACACATATTTCTACCATTCTGTTCACGTCGTTTCCGTATTGCAATAACAACAACTAAAAGTATTCCAATTCCAACAGTAAAAAGTGTTCCAGTTAATAGAGCTGCAAGTGGTAGTATTGAAATACCAATTGCACCATCTGCTGATTTTAAATTGGAGCAATGATATTTTTATAAATAATAAAAGAGGAAGAATGAAAATAAGAGAAGAAAAAAAATTGGATAAAATTTTTAATAAAATTATTTTATTATATACATATATATATAAATTTATATAAGTAAATAAATATATAGAAATAAATGGAATGATTTTATACGCGATCAAAAGCATAGTACGATTTTTTTTGTAAATATATGTATAATATTATTTATAAGAGCGTATATATTGAAAACTATTTTATATACCTGAATACACACATTATGTTACGTAAATATGTACGTGTGAATATCATGTACAAGTATGTATATTATAATGTATAAATTTTTGTATTGCAAGTGTAGGTGTATGAAAATGCATTTATAAACAGTGACGAGTAAAAATTTTGTAATACCTTCAATTTCAGATACGAGCTGTATTTTTTGTAATATCTCGAGATTCGGAATTTAATTTTTAAAATGAAAATGAAAACAAAATTTCTGCTGACACTATTTAATTTCAGTTGAAAAGTAGCTTTTACTCTACAATATTTGTCTGTATGTCGGAATTAATAATTGTCTATTATAATACATACAATTAGTTTAGTTTTACCATTGTCCTATAATTAGTATAATATTGGAATTTAAATGTAGTATTTGAATTTAATGCAAATTTAAAATTCGAAATTTTTTGACTATCTTTAAATAGATTCTGCGATTTTTTTTGCATAGTATGTGTAATACTGTGTCTTCCAATTTTACCACTGTTGGATCAGCTTTAAAAGCTATTTCAAGTAAATTTTAACATTCATAGCAATTTGGTTTTTAAAGAAAAACAAAAATAATATACGAAGTGTAGTAAAAATATATTGATTTTTATTTCAAGACGGTAATTTTTATTGATTAGTTAAATAACGCAATTATTCTATTAGAAATACACTATTATTTATTCCACTGTAAGCTAACATATTAAAAGTAATTTATTCGACTCTATATATTGTGTTGTAATTTTTTTTGCCGATGATTTAACCTGTTTTTTGTGTAAGGTATTAGTTTGATTTACATATCAAAAAAATATTGCTTTGTTCAATTTAGTTGAAGGTCTAAAATTGTTCACCTATTTTCACCCTAATAAATATTAAGTGTTATCATTAAATAATAGTTTTTGTTGAAGTTTCTATAGAACCTTCAAGATACAGAATGGAAACGGTAAAAAAACAGAATTATATTTTTAATAGAAAAACATTTCTTTTTTTAACAGTGTAACGACTGAGAATAGTTCTACTGAAAATTGTATACATTGTTGAAAAAGCTCGTCACTGTGTGTGCGAAAAATAAATACGAAAAATTAATGCGTTTATGTGCATATATATATGTACAAGTTGATGCATTAATAATTTAATTTTTTGCTAAATATGGAAATAGCAATAAACTTTATAAATGAAATGAAACAAAAAAAAAAAAACAAAAAATTATTATATTTTTTATTTTTAAATAAAAAATTGTTTTCAACTATGCTGTTTTTTTGAGTACTTCAAAATAACAAAAAAAAAAAATGATAATCTAAATTTATTTTAAAAATTTTCCCTGGTAAAATGGAAATTCATTCGATGAGATATTAATAAAGAGATTAATAATAACCGAGAAATGAATTAAACGCGCTTAAATTGGGACGCATTATGAAAAATTTTTAATTTTTTGTGTAGTCCCAGGTAAAATAAATCGATTTAAGTGAAAAATAATTGATATTTCAATTAATGGAAATTCAAAAAAAATCCAAAGAGATTAATTTTTTTTATTTTAAGAAAATATGTATAGTTTGTATTCGAATTAACTTTAATTTAAAATATAAATTTCCGTTTTGTTTAACAACGCTAACAAGTTTCCTGAATCTAAAGATCAAACTCTATGCTCTTGCTTACCTAAGCTATAAGTTTAAATATATAAGGATTTGTAACGATTTAGTTATGTAAAATATATCATAAACTCTTAAAGCAACTCTAACTTTTATAGTTTTAGAGTTTTTATAGAAGAGTTTGTATATGGAGAGATTTTATTTATGATTTGAAACAAAATATTATTTCAAATTAGGTCACCAATTTTATATAATAATATTATAAAGTAATTAAGCTAAATGTATTTTCATTAGACAAATAATTGTGAATATTAAAATGATTTTCCATTTATTTTAATATTCACGAATATTATATCCTCTTGAGTATTGAATTAAGGGTACATAAATATGAGGTAAAAAAATAAATTAAGTAAAATGTTTTTAGAAAATTATAAATTCATTTTCCGGTTTGTTTTAAAATTTTGAACACTTTGAATAGTATGAGGCAAATTTTGTAAGGTAACTGCTTTTATTAAAAGTTTATTAAGCTTAAAAAAATATTTTTAACTATTTATATTGTTAAGCATTAAAGTAACATTTTAAAAAATATGTTCGATACAGAAAACTGATAGAATCAATAGAAACGAAATTTAAAAATTACAAAAAAATTCTACTTAAATAATTTTCAATTTGGTGTTTCAATGCACAGGCGTTTAAAAAATAAAAGCATTGTTTTAACTGGAATTCAATTTTTTTCCACTACATAAAATTTTAACCGTTTTCTTAGTATTTATTTTGATTTTTTTACCGTATTTTAATAAATATAGTACAATAAATCTTAAATCCTCATAATAAATCTTGAACTCTTAAAAATAACAATTCTTAAGTCTTAAATAATCAATCTTAAGTAAAAACAAAATAAGGGTTCTTAATATACAATCAATATTTTAGATTTTAAATTCCTATACAATAAAAAAAATTAGAGAAGACGGGCACGAAAATTTTACATCTACCCGTATATACAGGATATTTGAATTATTGATTGGCTAAAAATATTTGTACAAAATTCAGAGGAAATTATTATTAAAGTTTAAAAATGTAAATTTATCTTTAAAAAAAAAAAAAGAAAATCGATTTAATTCTCAGCTCATCTTTTTATCTTGGAAAAATTTTAATATTTTATGCAAACATTTTGTTGGATAGCGGTAATTCTCAATCCTCATTTTTTTCTTGTTACAATAAAAATCAATTGTGAACTGAAAATATTAATTCAGAAGAAAATTTTATTAACCTTTATTTCCTTTTACAGTGAAATTTAGGCAAATTTTCTTGTTGAATTCGCATCACTTGAAATATGATAATTTTCAAAATTAATTTGTTTAAAATATAAAAAATTGCATACCGTAAGGGGTTGCGCATGAATTCAATTCATTTGTAATTAGCTATTCTGTTTTTTTTGTAAATTATTATATTTGGGAAAGTTCAATTTCCGTAAAATAATTTTGTAGTACGGTATTTGCGAAATATACATGCATTTTGTATGACCATAATTGGAACTTAGAATTATAAAAGAATTGTGTAGGATAATTATGAACATCAACTTGATTAAATCATTTAAATATAGAATTCAAGCTATTTTACAAATTTTCATATTTATGTAGGTAGTACTTATTAGTATGTAGTGTACTCAACTGGTTTATATAAAATATAATATCTACATTATTCCAATTTGAAAAAACCTCAGGTACGAATTTAAAAATTTCTAAAATAAGTCTCCAAAAATTTCCGATTCAGTTAATCTCAAATATATTCGGAATCCATTTCTATATTATTTAACTATTCTTTACAGTGTTATCAAAATAAATATAATAAATTAAAAAGATAAATAAAATCCAACAAGCAAACATTTTTCAGTATGTATGTTGCAATATAACAAATACAACTACGTGAATATAGTCGCAGAATTTTATAAGTTTAAGTGGTTTAAATTTAAATTTTTTTTTCTCTTTAAAAACGATTTTTTTTTTTTGTTTATTAATTTTTTCTTCAATAACTTGTGAAGATAGGTGAACCGCATTTACTGAGGTTACAGGAATTTCATCAGAATTTTTTAGATTGATTATAGATTCAAGAGGTGTTCTCTTTTTTTATTATTAAAATTTTTCTCAGCCAATATTTGGAAATTTTGAATATTTTACAGATGGTAGAATAATATTTACGGTAAAAATTAATGTTTTTATTACCGTAAATATCAAATTTCAAAATATTTTTTTTAAAAGTACACAGCGTGTTCGAGATTTAGGCTGTTTCTGAGCTTGTCGCAAAAATCTAATTTATCACACTATTTTTTTCCGAAAATCCCGAAGAGACACAGAATTTTTTTCATAACACTTCCCACTAGATTATATGTCAAAAATTTAGTGTTGTTAAACCCTCACTAGATGATCGCATTTCTCACTTCTCAAGAAAACCAATAAGTTGAAAAAAAATAAAAGTATGAAATATGGCGCTATTAACTCAATATTGCCAAAAACTTCACAAATTTAACCGAATAATGCTAAAATGGAAGGTTTTTTTTCGACACTGTCACAATGATTTTAAAATAAAAAGAATGTCAAAATAATTCTATATTCTGAAAGATTTATTGACTGCTCCAAGTTCTTAGTCAGGGAAATACTAAAATGCGATTAATTGTGCACGGAAATGTTTATTGAGAAATAATACGGAATATTTTTCGCCTTTTCTCCTTCTAATCCATTTTAAGTTTCTGGATTTTAAATATTGAACTATTTTATATTCAGGATTATAAATATTCCTGAAAAGTGCATCTTGCAGGTAAAAAATAATTAAGAAAACAAATAATGATGAAATAAAATGAAATAATAATGAAAAAAAGAGAAAAATGGCTAGTAAAAGTCAAGTTTTTGAGATTTTCGATCAAATAGGTTTGTCTTTGTAAGAGTTGTTTATTTACGTTTCCGAAGAAAGGAGGAATGTATTTAAGTTAAAAATTCGATATGAGAAATTTTGTGTTATCACAATACTGTTTACATGGCAGTCGATAGTAGATTTATATACAAGGTTACGTAGACATCCTTCTTTGTTGTTCGTAACTAAAGCCATTGTTGAAATGAATGACATTTTTTTCAATTTTCTATAGAAGATATTAAA